ATTTTGTATCAAAAATTTCAAAAGAGACAGAGTTCCATGTAAATCTCGGCAATCATTCCGTGCATAAATTTATTTATTTATTTATTTAATAACAATAATATCCAACAAAGACCATATACAAAAAATTATAAATACACATAAATATATAACACAAGAATATGATTCCTCTTCATCAAGGACATCCTGATGACAGAAAGATGCACCTAGATGGTTCAAACCACCTGTATGTGCTTTCATCATCCGGACTTACAAAAGAAACGAAAATGCTATTGATTGGATTATAAAATACAATAAAAAAACAATAATCAACCTCAATATCCCGAACAATAGTTCAATCATACTATGATACAAAAAATCATTAGAAAAACCTTTCAAATTGTGCAGTATTCTCAAAAATATATTCTCTGCAGCTGGTGCTAAATGTTTTAATATTTTTCAACTTTTTCAAGTGTTCTGGCAGAATGTTATATATCTTTGGTCCTATATACGTTATGTATCTTAAGTTTAGGTTATTGTTATTCTTGGGAATTTCGATTTGCCTGCCCACATTTGCACGAGAACAGTAGTTATGACTTACTTGTTTCTGTAGTTTTTCATTTCTATAAATAAAAGTAGATACTGTCATCACGTACAAGGATCTAATATAACATACATCCTTTGTAAAAAGTTTATTAGTGGGGAATCTTTTATCTTTCTTAAAAATAATTTTAATAATATATTTCTGAATAATAATGCGTTTATGTAGAGCATTATTATACAATCCCCTCCATACTAATATCGCATATCTAATTATAGATTCAACAAATGCTTTATAAACTGGATATATATGGATCAATTTTCTAACTCCACTCGATACATAATCAACAGACAACTTTGTCTTTAAACGGCTTTCTTCTAATTCGGGATAAGCCAAGCAGGTAGTTTCCAACTTGTCATCAGGAAACTTACCACAGTATTCTCCAAAGTGTTCGGAGAAAAAAAGGGATGCGGCTACCAAATGATCTTTGAATTGAAATCTGTCATTTGCAGAATTCACTATATTATCGCATACTTCTAATGAGGCAACTCGGTGATCGTGACTGCTATTATTACGTCGTCTCCTTTTGTTGCCTTGGGGTTCAGCGCAAATACTTTTGGCTTCATTTATTATGTCATCAATTTTATTTCTCACATCGACAATACATTTTTCAAAATAATCTATAGCCGTTTTAACTTGCGCTAGCTCGGTTTTTCTCTTCTGCAACTGGTTGAACAAGATGTCGACGTGAGACATGACATGTTGAAAAAAATGTCAACCAACACGAAAACAGAATCGTTTAACATTCGGCGAATACCGCAAGCTGCCTTGCAAACGGTTTCATTAGTGAAATTTTCTTCTATTTCTTCCATGCATTCAATGAGTGATTCTCTGTTCTCAAACACTACATTTATTGTTCGAATATTAAAATTCCAACGAGTTGTTGCTCCTTGGGGAATTTTTTCCCCACAATTCTGTTCAGTACCTCTACGCGTTGAGGAGAATTATTAAAAAATCCCGGAATATCTTTCAAATCCTCAAAGAACACCCGAACTTGAACATTTGCGGACGCAACTTGAGACATAATCAGGTTTAACTGATAAACATACCAATGCACATAGTGAGCAAATGGATATCTTTGTTTAATTTTTGCCTGTACTCCAGCATTATGTCCGCTCATTACCGCGGCTCCATCATAGCTTTGTGAAATCAGTTTGTAAGGGAAATTCCCTAATAATGGATCTACGACGCTCAAAATATGTCTTGTGAGAGTATCAGCGTCACATTTTTCGGGATTCATATAATTCCAAAAACGTTGTACTGGTTCGCCGTTAAATACGTATCTGAAACTTGTTACCAGTTGGGTTTTCCCCGAAATGTCCGTTGTTTCATTTGCTATTATCGCCAAATACGAGGCCCTGCTGTTAATCCGTTTTATTATTTCTTCATGACAAACTTCAAGAATACAATCCAGCAGATCGTTTTGTATTTCTTTCGAAGTTCCTTCAAATATTGAAGCATTTTTTAATGGTTCGCTTAAGGTTGTATCAAGCTCAGCAGAAAAATTAATCAGTCCACGAAATATTCCCGGGTTTTGGGAGCTGTCGGTTTCGTCGCGGCCCCGTAGCGCCAATTCAAATTCTCCGCAAAATTTTATACCGAGCACCGACCGACCAATCAGATATCGTACTTCGCATTAAATCTGTACGGATCTGTATAACGTGCAGCACATGCTTATGATTAAATCGCGCATTTGATTTTGTAGAGAGAGACAAAAGCAAGCGCGTGCGGCTTGTGTCGAAGTAGTGCAACGACGCTTTTCAAGTGGCTCATGAATAATGTTACGCTGCGGTCGCGACGAAAAAGACAAGTACACAATTGGTCGATTATAATGCTGCAAAACAGACTCGACGCCATGTCTTGCGGGGGCAGCGTGGCCGGTATTGTTTCTATTTGTGTGATAACATGAAAAATAAATAATGATCAAATTACTACTGCTTTTTTCTGTTAAGACAACAGTTTTGGCAGTTCTGCAGCTGTGCAGAACTTAAGGGCCATCCGCCCCTAGAGGCAGGTATGCTTTCACTCAAAGTTATCCTCCCCCTTTTCCTGAGGAAAATTCCTGCAGGCGGACATGATCGAAACTATCGGGCGTGGATGAAAATCGACGGCCACGTTCAGTCGAGCAACAACATGATCGACACGCAAGGGTCGGAAATATCTCTCTACCATTCTTAGTGCGTAGAATAAGTTCGGCTGGAGGTATATAAGAAAACCAACGTCTACAAATTGAGATATCCCTTTACAACCATCCATCGCCCAATTTTTTCCCCTACACATTTTTCAAAAAACGTCAGGATCTTCCGAAATGTCAAAGGACAAAGTTAAAGCGATTAACTCCGCTGCCGCTGGACCGATTTTCAAAAACTATAAAGCTTTTTCATCTTTGGTATTGAAGTAACCTTGTGCTAATAAAATGCACATAAAAATATTCATGACTTACAAATGAAAAAAATACATATAAACCGGAATATCTAAACCACCACATAGAGCAAAAGAAGCATATTTTCCACGTCACTAACTGGTTCCGAAGCACTGTAAAGTTTTTTTAATTAGCGGTTTAATGTCGAAATCTCTGTAAGATCATTTTTTGATTAAATTTGATTTTAAGAAGAGCTTCCCTGGCGTCTTCGTCTTACTGATTGATGGAGATTGTCCAAAGTTTCATTATACGATTTTGCGTTGAGGTTGTTTAAACTTTATGAGCAAGGGTCATTCATGGTCGAAGTAAGATTTTAACAAGTCCTAGCCTGCAGAAGGTTGAACTTTAAACTTTGGTGGCGGAGAATTTGTGCTCCCATGGCATTGATGACAGCTTACTGACTGGTTCAAAATAATGTCACCGAGAGTCATCGCTAGCAATTATTGAAAGAAAGAAAGTCATTACCGTTTTTCTTGCATTCCGTGAGATGTTGCAACGATCAGCCCATTCACAAGATTTTGGTCTTCTGACAAAAAGCGAGGAACCCATTGCGCACAAACTTTGCTATAACCCAATCTGTGTACGATACTATGGACGCACTAATATTTTTTTGAATTGCTCTGACTGAAATTCGAATATTTTTTCTAAGCATGCGCCACATTCCTGTCTGTTGATGCAGTACTCAATGCACCTGGTCGCGGCTTATTTGTCTCCTCTCTTCCACTCTTAGATTTTCTACACCATTCCTTGACAGTTGTATACGCAGAACATGCGTTTCCATACACCGCTTGCGCGTATGAATTCCCATTGCAGATTATGAATAACTGATTCTGAACAGAACAATACTGAGCAGCTGAGTCTATGATATATACATATTGGGTCATAATAACATCAGGACCGCATGTTGGAAAAGTACGTTAGTAGCATAAAGTTCTATATAAGTAATACGTATTCCTCGCATTTCATGCTTTACGTTTCAACATGTCAATCGCGAATTGCATGCTTTTACAATGACTGCAATATTTTTTTAAACGAAATGCGTTTCAAGAACGCACGTATTCAAACTAAAGTAAAACGTAGCCGTTGTTCAATTTATTTGTTCAGTGTTTCTTCTTTTCGATACATGCATGATGAACGTGGCTTTTGGATCCTAGCAAAGACCAGTGAACGTTGTAAACTTTTTCAGAATTATTTTAATTTTAAAATTTAACTATATAGATGTTTGCAAACACAACTAATATTGCAAAACGTCAGTTAGGTGATTAGAGTTGTTTCCAAGGCTAACCTGACGAAAGATGAGTTTCCCTTGAAGAAGCCTCGTATTTACATGCTCCCAACCCGGTCTTAAGCACCTATTAGACATATCTCAGACAGATTTCTCCATTGATTTCCCTTAAAACTTGGAATAATAGAGAAATGTTTTCGATACGGGTCTGTGCTTCTGCTCTCTGGGTTCGCCGGCGGGCGTGCCGATCTCGATGTCCCGCCATTACTGCCGAGATGCCGCGCCTAATGCGTATTGAGGCTATATATATTGGAGAAGGGCGACGTTGCCAGATGGACAGTACTACCGGTATGGCAGGGAAATTATGTCTTTGGACTAAATGTATGGTTCTGTTTCACTGACCTTCATGAACTGTTGACGGCATTACGAATGGAAATGCAGAATCAACGTACCTGACACCAGAGTTGTTGAGAGTCCTGAGTTTTCTCCTGAAAAAAGAAACTGAAAAAAACTGTAGTGAAGAAATATTCGATGACAGGAACAAGCCACTGGTCGTTCCGCAAATTATGGAATTTTGATGCCATTTCCGTTCCTTGTTGTGAATTGATAGCAAATTTTTATTCTTGAGAATCCCATATTGGATGTGATATCTTCTCAATTTTGAGCAAACGTTTCTTCCTTTGAGATGCACGCGATCCCTGACCCTCTCGATCCCCCCATAGCTACGTGCCAAGGATTATCTGAAATCTAAAAATACCGAAATCTGGCCACGGCCACGCGTTCCGAGCGTTTCGCCTGAAGTTTCAGCGGAAAATCGTTGATCGTAATGTCATTAAATCTGATTATTCGGAGCTACGTTGTTTGGCATAATGTGAAAGTGAAATCGAGGAAATGAGTGTCATTGCTGATTGTGAGTGCACGTGCGATGGAAAATTCAAAATGGCGGTAACCGCTCGGAAAATGTACAAGGTGTTTGTTTACCAGGTGTTTGTTGGGAGCTTAGAAGCATCAGTGACGTTGCGGTGTTATCGCGGAAAATAGATCGAATGACTCATTGGTTTAAACTTCAGGGGCATTGTCTGTGTTTTTAGTTTTGGATGATTAAAGGTTCAAGAAGAAAATTTCGAACTAAGTGACGTACAGTGAGTGCTTTGAATTGTCGAACTTTGGTTAGTTTGTAATTACTTCCCACGTATTTTCAAAGAAAGTATTAGGTCCTCCACACTTTCCGAGCTTACGATATTTTTTTTCCGAAATCATATATTCCATGTCATTTTTTCCATTGGACGTACACGTAATTTCAAGAAGTTATTAAAGTAAGAAACATAACAAATGATATCAAAATATTCCAAAATAGCGGTGTTGCATATACGAAAGTTCAATTTTTTAAACGAAAAACCTCCATTCACATTAAAGGTGTTAACCATTTTGGCGGCGCAGCCGAAGAGGTCGCTCAAGGGCTCAAACTATCAAGTACTTTTCATGAGTGTGAAGTTGTTAAAAACTTTTTTTGGCATTTCTAGACAGAGCCTGATTTCAATCATTCAGACATATCCAAGCGCAATACTAAAGTAGGTATATACTAAGTGACATATAAATCCGAACACTCAGTTTAAATGGTTTTATTTTAATAAAATTTTGTATAAGTACTTAATGAAGCATAATAAGTAAATGATAAACATTTCAAAATGATTGCACTGCTTTAAAGCCCTTTGACCTTTAATAATGTGTGGATGCACCCTGATGTGCTACACATTCTCCAACGCGCCTAGGCATGCTTCTGATCAGGTGGTCAATGTCCTCCTGTGGTATCTCATTCCAGGCAACCACCAACTCCTCTCGAAGTGCTTCTAGAGTCTGAGGAGGACGTTGCAAATGAGCAATCTCCTACCCATCATATCCCACACGTGCTCAATTGGGGATAAGTCGGGAGATCTTGGTGGCCATGGTAACAATGTGACATCATTATGTTGAAAGAAGTCTATTGTGACTCTTGCAACATGTGGTTGGGCATTATCTTGTTGGAAAGTTGGATCTGCCAGGGTGTCAAGATAGGGTAAAAGATGGGGTTCTAGAACTTCGTGGATATAACGCTGCGCGTTCATGTTACCTCTGATGAAGATTAAAGGTGACCTGGAACCATAAGCTATAGCACCCCAAACCATAACTCCAATAGTGTGATGAACATGTCTTTCAACAAAAAATTGTGGATTCCTCCTTTCACCACGTCGCCTTCTAACCCTGGCACGACCATCGTGCATGCCTAAACAAAATCGAGACTCGTCACTAAAGACAATACTGTTCCATTTCTGATCCCAGAGTGACCGTTGCCTGCACCACTCAAGGCGATTACGTCGGTGTTCTCGAGTTCAAGGGAGGACCCAGTGTGGCCGGTATGAAAACAAGCCAAAACTTCTCATTCGTCGGTAAACACTTCGCATGCCAATAGGTCTTCCGTGTTCTGCAAACCATTCATTTGCAATGGACCTGGTAGTGGAGAAACGGTCCCTTAAGGCCAATAATATTAGGCGGCGATCTTCACGGTCTGTTGTTCTACGGCGGCGTCCAGTGCCCCTTGCTCTTTGCGTACGGCCTTCTCGAAGCCATGCCTGACAACACCTAACCACAGTGTCTACACTTCTTTGCACTCTAACTGCAATTGCCCGAAAAGAAAGTCCAGCTTCCCGAAGTCCCACTATACGGCCCCTATCAAACTCACTAAGTTGACGAAATCGTACAGATTTCCGTACTCTAGGCATCGTAACCGATCGTAAAGGATGTCAAGAACCAAAATCCGCCAACGTTGATTCTTTACTGCGGCTGAAATATTCATTTTTAGAGCGTTAGTGAATTAAAAAAAAGCAGTATAAAAACCGGAATGTCCAACTGTAATATTTTGTTGGAAATTTCAATAGCCTAGGATAAGAGGATACTGAGTAAGTATTCACAACTTCTTAAAGTATAAATATAGATACGAAACATACTATCTGTACGTGACGTATACCACACCAAAGGCAAGAGATTTTCTGATTCTGAATAAACAAATCCAGAGAGCACCGTTTCGAGATCTCTTTTTCTATATACTGTTTGTGCATTCTAATATGGTGACAAGCACCGCCAGTCATTGACCCAAATTTTACTACTTTTGCTTCTGTGAAGCACTGCATGCAAGACTCTACATGATTTAAATCAGGACTTAAGTAAAATGTACTGAACAGAATATTGTATACTTACTGTTGTTGAACACATTTATCACTCCATTTATGCATTCAATTTACTACTAATAATATACTAAGTGACATATAAATCCGAACACCCAGTTTAAATGGTTTTATTTTAATAAAAGTTGGTGAATGTATTTATCTTACTGTAAATAACAAGTGAAAATATTTTCAGCCTTATCAGTTGGACATTCCGGTTTTTATACTGCTTTTTTTTAATTCACGAACGCTCTAAAAATGAATATTTCAGCCGCAGTAAAGAATCAACGTTGGCGGATTTTGGTTCTTGACATCCTTTACGATCGGTTACGATGCCTTCAGTACGGAGACCTGTACGACTTCGTCAACTTAGTGAGTTTGATAGGGGCCGTATAGTGGTACTTCGGGAAGCTGGACTTTCTTTTCGGGCAATTGCAGTTAGAGTGCAAAGAAGTGTAGACACTGTGGTTAGGTGTTGTCAGGCATGGCTTCGAGAAGGCCCTACGCAAAGAGCAGGGGCACTGGATACCGCCGTAGAACAACAGACCGTGAAGATCGCCGCCTAAGATTATTGGCCTTAAGGGACCGTTTCTCCACTACCAGGTCCATTGCAAATGAATGGTTTGCAGAACACGGAAGACCTATTGGCATGCGAAGTGTTTACCGACGAATGAGAAGTTTTGGCTTGTTTTCATACCGGCCACACTGGGTCCTCCCTTTAACTCGAGAACACCGACGTAATCGCCTTGAGTGGTGCAGCAACGGTCACTCTGGGATCAGGAATGGAACAGTATTGTCTTTAGTGACGAGTCTCGATTTTGTTTAGGCATGCACGATGGTCGTGCCAGGGTTAGAAGGCGACGTGGTGAAAGGAGGAATCCACAGCTTTTTGTTGAAAGACATGTTCATCACACTGTTGGAGTTATGGTTTGGAGTGCTATAGCTTATGGTTCCAGGTCACCTTTAATCTTCATCAGAGGTAACATGAACGCGCAGCGTTATATCCACGAAGTTCTAGAACCCCATCTTTTACCCTATCTTGACACCCTGGCAGATCCAACTTTCCAACAAGATAATGCCCGACCACATGTTGCAAGAGTCACAATAGACTTCTTTCAACATAATGATGTCACATTGTTACCATGGCCACCAAGATCTCCCGACTTACCTCCAATTGAGCACGTGTGGGATATGATGGGTAGGAAATTGCTCAATTTGCAACATCCTCCAGAGACTCTAGAAGCACTTCGAGAGGAGTTGGTGGTTGCCTGGAATCCGATACCACATGAGGACATTGACCACCTGATCAGAAGCATGCCTAAGCGCGTTGGAGAATGTGTAGCACATCAGGGTGCATCCACACATTATTAAAGGTCAAAGGGCTTTAAAGCAGTGCAATCATTTTGAAATTTTTATCATTTACTTATTATGCTTCATTAAGTACTTATACAAAATTTTATTAAAAAAAAACCATTTAAACTGGGTGTTCGGATTTATATGTCACTTAGTATAATTAATAAAAATACTTTCAATATTTTGAGCTTTTTGGTTTGATGGTTAAACAGACTTGTTACTTCACTTGCATGTCCCAAGCGGTATGTGTACTCGTAACGTATGTTCTAAAGGTTTTGGCACAAAATTCATTCATTTCAAGAAAAACAAAATAATATAAAGTTGCATATGAAAAAAAAGTTTGTTTAGCTTTGACAGCACAATATACCTTTTGTAATCGATAATTCTGCAAACTTGCTGCAGGCTCGCCGAACAGGCTTTACTGTCTAGGAAGAAGAAGAAAGTTTGTTCATTAAAAAAAATTGAAATAAACACTTTGTGTCAAAACTCTTAGAACATACGTTCTAACCCACAAAGTTGGCATCCATGAACATTAATGGAGGTTGCTAGCTTTGATAACTTTCACAAAAGTAAGGAAAAAATCGAACAATTCATTACAGTATGAAATAATAAAAAAAGAAACAAATAAGCGAATAACTTGAAAGTCCCAGAGGAAGGAATACTCCATGTGGGTGGATGGCATGAAATATCCTAAGTGACATATAAATCCGAACACCCAGTTTAAATGGTTTTATTTTAATAAAAGTTGGTGAATGTATTTATCTTACTGTAAATAACAAGTGAAAAAATTTTCAGCCTTATCAGTTGGACATTAAGGTTTTTATACTGCTTTTTTCTAATTCACTAACGCTCTAAAAATGAATATTTCAGCCGCAGTAAAGAATCAACGTTGGCGGATTTTGGTTCTCGACATCCTTTACGATCGGTTACGATGCCTAGAGTACGGAGACCTGTACGATTTCGTCAACTTAGTGAGTATGATAGGGGCCGTATAGTGGGACTTCGGGAAGCTGGACTTTCTTTTCGGGCAATTGCAGTTAGAGTGCAAAGAAGTGTAGACACTGTGGTTAGGTGTTGTCAGGCATGGCTTCGAGAAAGCCGTAGGCAAAGAGCAAGGGGCACTGGACGCCGCCGTAGAACAACAGACCGTGAAGATCGCCGCCTAAGATTATTGGCCTTAAGGGACCGTTTCTCCACTACCAGGTCCATTGCAAATGAATGGTTTGCAGAACACGGAAGACCTATTGGCACGCGAAGTGTTTACCGACGAATGAGAAGTTTTGGCTTGTTTCCATACCGGCCACACTGGGTCCTCCCTTTAACTCGAGAACACCGACGTAATCGCCTTGAGTGGTGCAGACAACGGTCACTCTGGGATCAGGAATGGAACAGTATTGTCTTTAGTGACGAGTCTCGATTTTGTTCAGGCATGCACGATGGTCGTGCCAGGGTTAGAAGGCCACCTGGTGAAAGGAGGAATCCACAGTTTTTTGTTGAAAGACATGTTCATCACACTGTTGGAAATATGGTTTGGGGTGCTATAGCTTATGGTTCCAGGTCACCTTTAATCTTGATCAGAGGTAACATGAACGCGCAGCGTTATATCCACGAAGTTC